CCCACCTCGCACCCCCGTCCCGGGCCGCCGCCTCTCCCTCACCGATGGTGGAGATGAAGGTGGTGTTGAAGGCGTCCTCGGAGAAGCGGAAGAGGAGGCAGGTCTTGCCCACGCCCGAGTCGCCGATCAGCAGCAGCTTGAACAGATAATCGTACGTCTTCGCCATCTTCTCGCTCCGGCCCTCTGACCGGAGAGCTAGAGGAGGCGGTGGAAGAGAGCGCGGAGGGGGCCTCGAGTCGGGGGGCGTGCCCGCCGACCGCGTCCCTGGGCTTCATGGGACTCGTAGTTCCTTCCGGGAACGTTGGGCGTTCCCGGCGCCGACTGTCCATGGAGGGCCCACCGGGTGGAAGATCTGCGTAATGTGCTGTGACCCGGTAGACTAGGCCTTTCCAAAAAAGCAGGGAAAGGAGACCTCATTTCGAGCTCTGTCCATCGCGCCTCCGGAACTTAACAGTTGTTTCTTTCTTTGAGGGGCGCCTTTCAAATCCAGGACCTCGGAATCTGAGTCCCTCGGCTTCCGCAGCTCTTCCGCTGGGACCTGAGCCGGGATGCTTTCTCGGGAGCCTGGATACCGTCTGCCGAGCATTCACTGGCTTCTCTTCCAGTTTCTGCCCAGCAACATCTCTTCAGCCCCCTCCCGCCGCCTCTCGGTTACGGAGCTGACAAAGAATGATTCCTGTGCTGACTCGTGCCCCCTTCCCGCCACACAGACCACGGTCACTCACGATGACTATTTAGAGGATCTGCTGCGCAGACCTCGTCGCTCTCCCTGCAGGAGGAAGGATTTTTTAAATCTAGCTTGGCTGTGCTACTGCTCTGTGCTCTGTAGAAAGAGGAGGCAACATCTGAGGCGGGAATTTTGGCCGTGGCAATGTAGAGTAAGATTTGGTGGTACTCTTGGCTAGGCGCTTAACCTCTGTGGCCGATCACGCAACTCTGTGGGGCTGTTTTCTCATCTGTAAAGTGAATATAAAGCAATCTATTTCATAGGATTGTAGTGAAAAGTAAATACCAAAAGTGAAAGCATTTGGAACCGGTACAGCCGGGTGAGTAGTGTTATATTCATCACCCCTCAGCGGCACTCATTTGACAAATGACTAATGGAGGTCCTAGCAGTCTTCCCTTATACTCGATTTAAGGGGTTTACATTCAGGTAACGGGGAAGGAGTAGCCCAAGAGGACTAGGCGCCCATCACAGTCCTCTGGCTCCCAAGAACCTCTTCTCCTTTTCGGTTTTAATTCCTAATATGTCAAGTATCACCAGCTTGACACCACATGCACGCACGCACACAAATACCACGCATAAAAAGCTCTTTGATCCAGGTGCAGCGGTGCATGCCAGTAAAGCCAGCACTCCAGAGGCTGAGGCAGGACTACAAGTTTGAGGTCCTCCTGAGCTGCATAGTGAGTTCAAGGCCAGCCTGAACTACATAGCAAGACCTTATCTCAAAAAATTAAACGAAACAAAAACCTCAATAAAGTTTAAGAGGATGAAGGGATCCTGAGATCAAAACAGTTGAGAATCACTGACTCAAGACATTTACCTTATATGTAAGGAAACACCTGCTGGAATAGTAGAAGTTGTTCAAGGGAACCAGTGGACTGAACCATTCATGCAATACAAAAAACAAACATGAACAGTTGAACAAAGTAGCAGTCCCACCCCCAGTTCTGGTGATTAAATTCAGGTCTTTTGCTGTAACCTGATCCCAGCCCTTTTTATTTTTGACACAAGATCTCAGTAAGTTACTCAGGCTGAGCTCAAATTTAGAATCCTCTTGCCTCAGCCTCCCAGAGCACTGGGATTACAGTGGAGTGCCACCATGCCTGACACAGCAAGCTCTTTTAAGACACATCTTGAGTAGCTAGGGACTCAAGGCCACTGATGCTACATTCTTAGTTTTACTGTAGCAGGACAGTACTGGCCTTCAGCTTCTATGTGGACAGAAGATGAAATGCATCATCTTTATTTCACATTTATTGATCATACAGTATCTAAAGGGCAATAGCTGTTGTTGCTCTCACTACTGCTATTAACCGCATATCTAATTTCTAAAGCTCTAATCCTGTCAAAGTCAATGCTAACAAGGAGGGATTCTGCCCTGTAACACAGGCTGAGACTCTTTGCCCAAGCCAGGCCTTGGACTCAAACTTACGATCCTCCTGCCTCAGCTTCCCAGAGTGTCTACATGCATGCTGCACCATATTTGACTTAGGCAAATTTCTGAACTGGCTTTAACCAGTCAAGTATGGACAGCTCAGTTCTATCCCTTCGTCCTCATTTCTAGAAAAAAAAAAGTGGGGGGGAGCAGAAATCCTCAAAGACCAATGGAATTTTTCTCTTTAAAGACGTCTTCTTATTAAAATTTTTTTTCAGTTCCACCATTTGCATTCAACTACTGTCATTCTCTTTCTGTATGAGTAGGAACAAGCTGAGATAGTAAAGCTTCAAAAGAGAAGCTAGAGGTCGGAATCTTAAAGTCCCTAAATCTCCCTAGGGGAATTTCATTAATTGATGGGAATTTAAAAATAATAATTCTGTCTTGTTTTCACTTCCTCACCTTTTCTCTACTACCAAGTTTATATATAATATTGGGACTTTTTAGTTAGTAAGTTTGTGTACCACTGTTGAACCATTCAGGCATTTTGATATATTGATACTTTCAAAAAGAATCAGATTTTTTTATGAATGATCAATCTTCTTATTTTGTGCAACAATATATTAGAAATCAGATTCTGGGTAGTAGTAGCTCTATTGACAGGCCATTTGCCAAAAAAACTAGACAGAAATTTTTTTTTTTTTTTTTTTTTTTTTGGGGATCAAACAGAATTTTTTTTTTTTTTTTTTTTTGTATGGGGATCAAACTCAGGTCCTTGTGCTTGCAAGGTAGGCAGCAGAACCACTGCACTAAATCCCCGGCCCCCAGAAATGTTTTTTTGTTTTGTTTTGTTTTTTTGAGACAGGGTCTCCCAATGTAGTTGAGACTGAACTGGAACTCACTATGTAGCCCAGGCTGTCTCAAACTCACAGAGATCCTCCTGCCTCAGCCTCCTGAGTACTGGGATTACAGGCATGCACCAGAAATGTATTTATAGAGAGGAGGGTACCATAGGTACCCTGTTCTGCAAGTGTTATTAACAGACTCTCCAAAAATCTATATTACAGTGCTCCAAGGAAACCACATCGCCCAAAGCCAGCCTGGAAATGCTGCATCGCTGCAGAGCACTAAGCCAATCAGCACATTCAGTTTGATTTGTTGCCTGTCCTGGTGGTGCATGTGTATGATCCCAGCTACTCAGCAGTCTGAGACAGGAGGATTACAAGTTCAAGGCCAGCCTGGTAACTCAGTAAGACCCTGTCTCAAAACAAAAATCAAAAAGGGCTGGGGATATAGCTCAGTGGTAGAGCATTTGTGGAGCATGCATGAGTGCCTGCATTCAATCCACAGTTGAAGCCCTGTGTAGGGTTACATTGTCCATGACAGCGTGACCACACTCTAATGCCCGAGAGGTTTGCCCTGTGTGGGATTTTTTTTAGCCAACATTCTTTCTGCTGGATTTTAGGAAGCTGCTCTTCCCTTACTGGTGAATGGGAAGCATGGTACTCTAATCTTCTGTCCACAGAGGTGGGCATCTGTTCTAGGCTGGTTTGATCCGAGTTCTTTCTAATGAGCTGGAGTAACACTGTGCAAAGCAGATCTGTTTGGTGTGAAGTCTGTGTGAGCTTCAAGCTGGTTTTAAGCAGAGTTTTACATAATGTTCCAGTATTCTCTTATTCCTGCCCTCCTCTCTGCTTCCTTGGTCCTCAGACTGGCTTTCCTCATGGCAGCAAGCAAGACTGGCGTGCTGCACACTTCCAAGGGATCACTCTTCTCCCGACAGTAGTTATTCACTTGGGAGGTACAAAACTCCCCAAGAATCTACTAATACATTTTTGAGTGTTTGTGTGTTCTCTGTGCACATTTTCAGAACAATTTAAGAATTCTTAAACTGGTTTCAATTGCTCCAGACACTGTCAGGAAATGTTGCTTTTCTCAAGTGCGTAAGTGAAATTAAATATGTGTGAGACTCCTCCTTGGGGAGGGCTGGCAAAACTGGACTCAGTCATCACTGAGACTTTTCCTCCCCTTAATTGTATCCTCCAAGAACCCACACATGTACATTGCCCTAAAAAATGAAAGGCAAAGCAGCCTCTGGCCATCAGTTTGTACCATCAGTGCTAAGGCTTTTGCCCAACTCTTGGGCACTGGCCCTCTGCCATGTGTTGAGCACAGCTGTCCGGGTGGGCTACAAAGATGTCCTTCATGGTGATTATCTTCCCTGACTGATGACTCAGCCATCACATAAGTTCTCGCTCTGTTACTGAGTAGCGGATATACATCCTTGTCTTCTCGATTAAAACTTGAGCTCTCTGAGGGACAAAAAATCTTGCCGATTTCTCACTCCCATTCGCAGGATGCTTTACACATAGTAGGGCACTCATGTTGTTGAATAAATGAATGCACTAACATCTGTCCATCATACCAGTGGTCTAGCTAATTTAAAAACATTTGGGACACTTTGGTTTATTATTTGCTATAAAACTTGGGTACTCTGGGCCTCAGAAATACTTATTTATACTACACTTTGTATTTGTATGTTATTCATTTTGTAAGTACACTATTCATTGTTTTGTTTAGGAAATCACTGTGACTATATATAATTTTTCTAGTTTGTCAAGATCACATTTAATGATAAGACCTGAAAAATACCAATTTTTTAATCACCTGTATGCCATCTAAAAACATGCTATTTATTTAGCGATAGTCTAATGGTATAATTCTATAATTAACCTCATCAGAAAGGGACAAACTGTACTCTTCCACCCACTGATATTTCCTGAGCAATCACAGGATGAGTAATGTCCACTCTAACAAATATTCATTAAGTTCACATTATGAGGCCAGCTTGGCAAGGCCACCTGGAGGTTAAAAAGAGATCTACCATGTGGTTTCTACCCTTAGTCTGCTCCCACCTAATTGAGGGGGAGAGCACACAAGTGAAAAGTTCAGTGACAAATGTGGTAACATACTGCGTGTATTGTGATGGGTTGTGTCCATTCTGAATTCTGATCGGCCAGCTTTTTCTTGTGTTTGTGGGTTGTTTTGATTTGGTTTAGTTTGGTTTTGGGGTTCTTTTTGAGACAAGGCCTTCATGGGTATTGTACGCTGCTGCCCTGGAACTCATGGTGATCCTCCTGTCTCAGCCTCCCAAGGGCTGGGATTATAGGCATGCCCAGCTGATTGGTCAGTTTGTAATTCAGATCGCAGAAGCACTCATTCTGATTGGCTGAGTGTCCATTTTGATTATTTGAGCTTCCATTCTGATTAGACAGACTTCCAAACTGATTTGTCAAGCACTCATGCAAAAGTGACTGCTACTTTTATTGTTGGTGGTGGTTTTTTGAGACAGGGTCTCACTCTGTAGGTCAGAATGGTCTCAAACTCTTCATCCTCCTGCCTTAGCCTCCAGAGTATTGGGGTTGCAGGTGTATACCACCATACCCAGTTTTTGATTGTTATATATTTTATATATCACCACTGGATATAAAACAAATAAAAATGAGATGATACTGTTTTTTAAATTGCTGCATGAAAGTATAGTATATGATTAAGAAATCTCTATAAAACCTACTTTTTTTATGACAAAGTCACCGTGTTGTAGAGAAGATAGGAAGACAGTGTGCAACCATCCCTCAGTCCTGGGTTAATGAATGTGACTGAGTGGCAGGCTTTCTTTGTCATAGGCCCCTAGAACGTGGGCAAGGGCCAAGGCCAATGGCTAAAGGCAAAACTCTTTCCTTGTGTGCTATGGATAGAAACGTAATTCCTTAGAATTAAGAACAAGCCACTCCGGGTGCAACTATTCTGGGTGGCTCCATTTCTGGATAAGGTGCAGCCCACAGAAAGGGCAGGTACAGCTTAGCAAGCCTAGAGTACATGGCTCAATAGCCTAAACTACTAAAGGGTGGTTTGTAAGGAATCTGTTCCAAGACCTTGTAAATCACTTCTCTGTCTGATGATAACATTTCTGACAATAAAATGTCAGGAATGCATTCCTGTCATTAATTTAGGCATTGCTTTTTCATAGGATTCTGTGTCAAATAAGGTAGGATTCCTAGAAAACAGGAGCTATTAAAGAATCTTCACGTTGTGTGTGTGTGTGTGTGTGTGTGTGTGTGTGTGTGTGTTGTAGAAGATCAAACTCAGAGCCTCCTGCATGCTAGGCAAGTGCTCTGCCACTGAGCTACATCTCCAGTTCAAGAAAGCCTTTTGGGGCCAACTGTAAAGTAGACCTTGATCCAAAAGCACAGTGCAGATGTGCTAATACACACAATCGGTATCATAAAAGTATTGGGATATTTATGTTAATAAGTAAAAGAACACTTTATGGCTTCAGTAAATAATAAAAATACCTATTTAATCATAGTAAAACAATCAGATATAGGCCTAATGACAGGTCAGGCTTAATCCAGCAGTCAGATAACATACCTGGGACCTAGTTTCGCTCTCGGTTTCTTAATGCTTCTTCAAAGTTGCACTTACTACAACAGGCCAGCCCCATGTGGTTACAAAATATGTACCTCAAGCTCCTGAGCTCCTGGCTTCTCGATTCAAGCAGAGAAGGATGCGGAGAGCCCTCTTCCCCAAGAGTTTAAATAAATATCTGAAATTGTGTTCCTTGCACCCTGATTGCCCTTCCCTAACTAAGCAAGATCTCCATGGAGTGAACTAGATCAACTGGCCTAAGCCACTAGAACCGGATGTGGGAAGCATAATCAGTCTCACCCTGAGCCCAGGATTATTAGAAATAGAGGAGACAGGAGGAAACAAAGTGATGGGTAGTGTAGGCTGCTGGTTTGGAACTCGTGGCGATCCTTCTGCCTCAGCCTCCCAAGGGCTGGGATTACAGGGATGAACACTGTCACTTATGTTTAAGTCAAATAGTAGGAATATTTGTGTAAAGTGTTACTAAGTAGCTGGTAGTGGAATTTCTGGAGAATTCATAGCTAAATCCAGGAAAATGCTGACCTTTCATTCACTTAAACAAATGGATTGATATTTAAATGTGAAGGAAATACGGCCTCCTTAAGGAAAAGGTAGATGGACCACAGCCAGAATGAACACAAGCACTGGAACACCTGGTGCCTTGTCTACCGTACAGTGGCAACCCGCTAAGGCAAAAGCTCAGGTGAAACACTCGGGGAGCCTTTAATTTCCCTGTTAGGCTCTGACAAACCTGTTCTGGGACACTGTAATGGAAAAATGATAGGACTAATTATCAGGCAACCAACCTCTGTTCCCAGCTCTGTCACTTAGTCTGTGACTTTAAAAAAGCACAATGACCTTTCTTCTTTGGTGGGGGGGTTGTTTTTGTTTTTTGTTTTGAGATAGGGTCTCACTATGTAGTTGAGACTAACCTAGAACTCACTATGTAGCCCAGGCTGGTCTCAAACTCACAGTGATCCTCCTTCCTCAGCCTCTTAAGTGCTGGGATTACAGGCGTGCACCACCACACCCAGCGTATGATGACCTTTCTATACCTCAGTTTTCACATCTGTAAAATGGCGGGAGTGCTGGACTGGATAATCACTTTACATGTGCAAAATCCTTTAAATTCTAGAATCCAGGTTTGCATAAGAGATGACCTAATCTCTGAGAGTTTTAGTCTTATAGACTTTGATCTGCTATGTCATCTAAACATCCTGGTGCATCCAGGGGGGTTATCAGCAGCCTTTCAGGTCCCATGCAGGATGTCGTGATGGGAAAGGAACCCGAGGCACCTAGTTCCTTGTTTTGAACAGCATTGGATTCACCCTTATGACTCAGTCATCAGTATTCTCTTTTTCCAAGGAGTACAGAGTTTCAGTCCTTTCTGAGATGGCGACAGTGGTTACCAAAGATTTATTGGGTTGCTAAACTATTGGCTTAAGAGAGAAATGAAACTCTGCTTTGTATTTTGAGACAAATCCAGTCAATTCCTGCCTCCAATTCCTACTTAAAATGAACAGTCATTTTCTTTCTTTTTTTTCTCTCTTTGGTTTTTTGAGACAGGGTCTCTCTATGTAGTTAAGACTGACCTGGAACTCACTATGTAGCCCAGGCTGGTCTCAAACTCACAGGGATCCTCCTGCCTCAGCCTCCCAAGCGCTGGGATTATAGGCAAGTGCCACCATGCCTGGCCCTTGGATAATGATTTTCTGAAAAATCTTAAACATAGACTTTCCCACCTATTAAACAGAAATAAGGAAAAAAAAAAACAAGCAAACAGAAATGAGGACTTATAAACAGAGTTCATCAGGGAACATGCTGAATTGCTCTGGAACCTATGATAAAACACCCTATCGCTTTGTGAAATTCCTATCTCTGGACAGGACTGAAGACTTAATATGAAACCAAGCAGAACTCTCTGATTATTCATTTTTTTAAGATCTACAACTATAAAATGATGCTGACAACCTAATAGAACACTAAGGAAATAAAGCTGAATAGGTGATTGCTTTGGGCTAGGATATTCAAATTTAGAAAAATTGCTAATGAAACCCCAATCACATTGTAATTTTTGACCTATTCCCTTCTGAAACTCAAGAAGCTATAGGGCCTAATTAGGCCAGTTTGGGGGATTATCACAACATCTTATTTCTGCAATGAATAGCATCATTTGGGGCTTAATATTCATTGAGGCTTTTATGAAACAGAGAGGTTTCCATATGTCTCTAGTGCAAAACATTTGTGTTTGCCATCTGGTACTCAAGTGCAGTTTTGTAGAAAAAGAATGTAAATTGGCTGGTTCTTTAATTACTTTGGAGATAGACTATACTATAGTTGGGACTATGGGGCAGCAAGTTCACTGCTGGGCAAATAATGCTGTTTACTTAGCCACTAACTCAGTAATTTTTTTTTTTTTTTTGCAAAGAGACAGTATGAAAAGAAGTTGAAGCCTAAATATATTTATGTCTTTTGAACTTGAGGCAAAGACCATGTAAAGTGATGTGTGAGACTTTTTGAGGCTGGCAAAAAGAAGACACTATCTAGGACACCAGACTTTAAGGTCAGTATTACCAAGTATCAGATCTCTTTTCCTTGGCCTGTGCCAAAGAGTCTATGACTCACACTTAATACTTCAATTTAAAAAACATCAAAGGATCTCCTTGAGCTCAGTGTTAAAAAAAAAAAAAAATCACTCGCTTGTCACTAGGCGTTAACTACCTGGACTTTGGATTTAGTATCTTTTGTTTCTCTGATCCCTGTTTCCATTAACTTCCTGAATTGTGAATAACTATCTATTCAATAATACCTCCAGTAGCCACAGAAGAGACACCATTAGAAAAAATACTTCAAGGGCTAAAGGTATAGCTCAGTGGTAGAGCCATACATAAGGCCCTAGGTTCAAGTCCAGCACTGCAAACAATAATAAACAAACAAACAAAAATCACCACTGACAACAACAACAAACTCAAAAATATACTTCAAACTGGTTTTGTTTACTCAAGTAGTAACTTCAACCAACTGTGCTTAATCAAAACTGGAAACTCTGGAGCTGAGGGATTATCTGTAGTTTCAACTACTGATGCTTTTAAAACTTCCCTTGCCATAAATTTCATGCTGGAACTATCAGAATATAGAATGTAAGAAACTGACAAAAGAAAGTGACCAGGTCAGGCCACTGACTTAGACCCCCGACAGGACATCTAGCCTCAGTGGACTTCTGATTTCTAAGATAATCCATTGCTTCAGGACGCCGCAACACTGATGACTGTACAGTTTATTCCAGTGTTTCTCAAAGTGTGCACCTCAGGACACCAAGGGAATAAGCAGGTGCTAGTAGGTGATGGAAGGAGAAAGGGTTTAATGATCAAAACCTTTAAGAAATGCTGTTGTTGGAACAGCTCAGGATCTTTTGATGTGCTGAGGGGTGCACAGAGACTCCATGACAGGATGAAGCACCCAATTTTCCCCATTCTCTTTTTTGATCTCTTGGGACCTGCATTCTGCAGAATACATGTTGGGGAATTGATTTAATCTCAACTTTTCACTTTAGATACAGAGATACTGTACTAAATCGTAAAGCCCTACTGTCAAGATGCACACCAGCATGTTTACGGGAAAGCGTCAGGAAGAGAGGCAACATCTATCACCAGAGTGCCCCACAAATTGGACTCAGAACACTGTCCCTGCCTCCGGGTTCTCCTGAGTGCCTGGGTACTCTGTTACCACTTCCGTCACCCTCACATTCACCCAAAGGTCAGCCACAAGCTGAGGCAGCTGCTTTACCCTCAGGTCTGGGGGGTACAAAATTGAAATGAAAATCGCCTATGTTCAGATACATATTTACCTACAATTCTGTTGGTGCATGAAATTTAATTCTCCAATGAACACCCTGTGTGCTTTTTGAGAAAAACACTAGTGTTCAGTAAACTAACATTCACCTTTTTCCATCTGCATTGTTCTGTATTTGGAATGAATTATAGGATAGGTCAGAGGGTCACATCACACTCAGGCTAATTTCCTATACTGACATTTAAAAGGTTGTAAAATAATCTGCACAATGAAATGTTTAGGGATGAATCATTTAAGTGTCTGAGAGTATGAATTATATGCACATTGTATCCCTGATGAATAACACAGGGCTTGGCATATATTAGCCATGTAGTGATAAATATGCTTGCATTAATTAGTAAATTATAATCTAATGATTGGGTTTAATAAAATTAAATAATGGTAATAATATGCTAGTGGTTTAATAATATCCTACCTTTTCAAAAAGTATCTCAAAGATAGATTCCTTGACCTATCATGATCAAGGACCATGAATTCTGATTAAGGAGTATAAACATAGGCTACTTGACATTCTTCATCATGGTAGTAATCTTCTGGTTCCATAAACAAACACACTGTTATGTGGTATTTCTTTTAGATAATATAAAAGGGAATCGTTTCTATAGTTGACATTTAAATCACACACACACACACACACTTGGAATTGAAATGAGCTAGTAGGCATCAAGTCCTATCTTCCAGTCATTGCAGAATTCCCCTTTCAACCATTTGGCCTTTACTTAACCATCCCCAGAGACAAAAACATATAATAACCAAAGAAATGTGTCATCCTCGAGGCCACTCTGAGTCATCAAAGAAGGATTAAGTCATGCGGGTAAATTATAGTTTGTGTTCTGTATTTTCATTAATTTAATAAAAACATTTTTAAAGAACCTACAATATATAAAGCAGTTTGTTAGGTACTATAGGGGAAAGAAATAGAGCTAAAACAGACCATTCCTTAAGCAGTCTATGGTCTTAAAAGTGGGGTATGTTGGCAAACACTTGTAATCCCAGCACTTGGGAGGCTGAGGCAGCAGGATCAAGAGTTTAAGGCTAGCTTGAGCTACATAAGACCCTGCCTCAAATGAAAAAAGTCTACGATTTTATAGGGAAGACAGATGAGATACATAAAGAATTACAATACTAGGTAGAATTATGATATGCTGTTAATAAGATGATGTATTGGTTTATAGTTGTTTCAAAATTAATGTCTTTCAAAACTGGTAGTCCATGGGCCAGGGATTTAGCTCAGTGGTTCTGCTGCCTGCCTCGCAAACACAAGGTCTCAAGTTTGATCCCCGGTACCAAGACAAAACAAAAAACTGGTAGTCCATAGTTAGGCAGATTACCCAGTATATTAGAATATCCCATTCCCTAATCACACTGGGTAATGGAAGGTTACAGCACATCGAGTTTCCTAGCAGCCATTAGCATCCCCCAAGAGTCAAGCTTCTCATTAGATGGCAGGTGAGGAGCACTCCAGCATGGTGTGCTAACCAGCCCTGAGTAGCTGACTCTGGACACACAATTCACCTTAAGTGAACGGGCAGGAAGATGAATCACACTGACATGGAGCCTGAACTGTGCTGGGGGAGCTTCAGGATGCTTCCCAGAAGCTGAATTCTTGTGAGGGACACAGTAGAGTAGTAGATTGGCCAAATCGTCATGTGAAAACCAACAGTGAGGTTGGTCTGGGTGCACAAGTGGTCTCTGGACCTGCAGAGTGGTTCCATCTGACCAGACAGTAGATCTTTGAGAGGGAAGAAGACCTGTCCATCTACATTTAAGAAGTAGCCACCGCCTGCCTGCATGCACACATGTTTCATTCTGATTTTGGGTGTATATTTACTTTCATTTGAAAGGCAGAATGAATTTTAAGGAAATTAATTTATAAAACCAACCTCCAATGATCAATAAGGAAATGTGTCCTTTGTGTATTAGGAGAAATGAGATCAAAGGAGGTTGGATGAAAACCCTTGCCTGAGCTAAAAATTCAGGACTCAATGCTATTGTCTGAACACACGCTAACAATCAAAATACATATCTTACACATTTCCTTACTACATTTTTTGCCTTGAGAATTTGATGATAGAAATGCTGTTTTAATATATGTGGACAAACTCTCTTAAAATTGTAGGTTGTAAATCCATTTGAATAAAGTTGAGATGTGGGTTAACAATAAGGAAGTTCCTAATTTATACTTCTGTGTAGCTCGAGCCAGGAATGGGATCATGATCCTGATTCTGAGGAACATGAGGGATCTTTTGTCCCGCAGCTCCCTCAACCTTGTCTGACCCAAGGATTCCCCAGAGAAAAGCAGTGAGACACATGCTCAGCAGCCCAATTCATTGACATGCTTCAATTCTTGGTCTATTCTGGGGGGGCGGGTAGCAGCAGTGGCACCCCTTCCCTCCCACACACCCCAGCATCATCATCTAGAGTTCTTTTTTTTTTTTTTTCTTTTGGTACCAGGGATCAAACTCAGGGCCTTGTGCATGTGAGGCAGGCGGTGGCACCACTGAGCTAAATCCCTGGCCCAAACCATCTAGAGTTGATATCTGAATTTCACGGGAGCTCAACTTCTCCACTAAAATACTGAATTATGAAGCTTATTCATTTGGTTTCTGGCCCTTTTACATGCTGATGTCACATGCACTTCTCAGAATAGGTAGGTTTGGAAGCAGAAGAAAAACCACTTGAAATACTTCATGCCTCTGTTTTATAGTTGAAGTAGAAATCATCAATGGTATCCACATTTGTGTAGAACTATAGTATTAACTCACACTTTGGGCTTATTTTTTTACTTAGCCAGGTATGATTTGCTTCAGCAAGGGAGGCCCCTCCCCTGGGGCAACTGTTAAGAGACCCCTCCCCCTCCCCTCTTCTGCTACTCTTCCCCACTGGGCAAGGACTCTACAGGCCAAGCAGATTTAATCACCCAGAACCATGTCTACCTTTAAGCCATGCTGCAGGTGCCTAGATCCCAAATTCCCGGCCAAAGGCCCTTCTTCCAAGATTGCATGGGCCTCTTGCCCATTCTAGCCTTGAGAGGGGACTGTACAATTCGTGTGGCATCATAGGCCTGAGTGGTGACCAAAAGAAGGTGGAGATATGACCAGAAGTGACCAGAAGTGGCTGGGATCCAGTGCATGTGAGGCTTTCATGGAGCTGCTGGGTCTGGGGTGGGAAAGGAGAGCATCTGTGTGGTGCGGACCACCTCCCTGGGAGCCACCTCAGCCTAATGTGGTTCTGAGGATTTCCTGGGTCTTCACAAATGTACGTAGGTAGGTAGAAAATGAATTTGCTAGCTTCACCTCTAATTTTTAAATACTTAAACTTATGCGGGCCTTCATTTTACTTTTGCCCCAGGCTCTCCCAGTGTGAAATGGGCCTGCTCCTAGAACAGGACTGACTTTGAAAATTTTAATATCTATTCATCCCTTATTATCCATGAAGGAATCAGGGCCCCTGTGATACCAAAATACATGTGTGTTCAAGCCCCTTATATAAGATGCACGGTATTTGCATACAACTTCCTCCTGTATACTTCCAGTCATCTCTAGATTACTTACCATAGCTCATACAATATAAATGCTATTAAACAGTTGTTATACTGCATTAAGGAATAATGAGAAAACAACCTGATTGATGGCTGTGACTGATGATTGAACTTGGAGATGGAAAACTCACAGGCACAGTGGGTCCACAGTAAAGGATCTGGCAATGAGGAGGCCACTTTGCAACCAGGACAAACGTAGCACTGCTCTGAAGCAATATTCCAGCTATGTTCCAGCATCGTCCTTCTGCTTCCAGAGTGAACAGGAGAGACTGCAGGGTATGCATTTAGTAGCCACTGAGAACCAGAAAAAGAGAGCATGGCTGAGTTCAAACAGCTCAAGCCCCACACTGGTGCTCTGGTCTATACTGCTGCTATTGCCCTGCCCAACTCTGTTTCCCAGTTGACTTCCTTAACCTGCATAGAGTTAAGAGCTGGGTACTTTCAAAATCTCTTCCAGGCAAAGAAGAATGAACTAGAAAGTGAACAGGGCCAGGCTTCCTGGGATGAACACCACTTCAATTCAGCAAACCCCCGAGCCTTTCTAGCTGTTTCGTCAGCTGTGAAATGAGCAGGCTAATTCAGGCCTACTTCAGAGAGCGAGTGGCAGGTTTAATTAATGATGATCTCGGAAGGCTTTGTCATGTAAAGTCGTATATAAATGAAAAGGAGCATTAGAGCTATTTTATATAAAGCGGGCCAAGTTTGGAGTGCATCCCGCTTTCTGCTGTCACAGTTAAGCCTCTAAGTCCTGATTGCAGACTGCTTCAGACTTCAGCGGCGCTGGAGAGCACAGCTGGGGTCACATTACCTGGACAGAAAGCAGGGCTTGGTAATGGAGTGGAGTCCAAGCTTGCAATCAGTGCACGGCTCAGATGTCTGGCAGGTGGGCTGCACGGAGAGCACCGGCACCAGCTGCTGGCAGGCAATCAAATGGTTTCGCAATCAGAGTAACAAAAGATAAAAGTGCATCCATTTATGTATTTCGAGAACATCTGGCGAGATCTCAAGCACGACTTCGAGGGGAGAGGTCTCACTGATGATCCCCTCGCAGGTCTACCTACATCCCTGCCATGGCTTACTGGCTCACAGTTGACATTCATTCACAGTGTTTCTTCAGACGGTGCCTACTGAGAACACACAGCAAGCAAGGATCAGGCTGTCTAGGAGCTGTCCTCTCCTTTAAAATCTTTATCTTACTCTTTGGGGTCCCGTCCTTGATTCAGTTAAAGACAAGTCCACATTACTTCGCAGAAGTCATACGGGTCCCCAGAGCCACACTCGGAATCAGATTACTGCTTTCATTAGCAAGGGATTTCTGCCTCTCACATGAGATCCATCTGTTACCATTCATTTGCAGCAAATCACAACTTTATTTACCTAATGGATGTGCTGCATCCTCCCTTCATCTATCCAGGGATCTTAGGGTAGCAAAGTGCATTCAGTGTCGTGTTGCAAATATGGTCATACAGTCGCTTCCTTAATTCGAGTTGACTTTAAGCTTCTTGAAAACCCTAAGGGGATCTTAATCTTTCCCCCTCCCTGTACTTGGGTGGCCCAGGGGCCTTCTACCACGAGACTGTACTCCCAGTCTGTTTTCATTTTGGAGATAGGGACTTGCTAAATTCCAGAGTGATAGATTAATCATTTTTATATCACCCCCAACACCCATGCCTTCCTCACAGATGTACACATACACACAAGTTGTTTAATTTTTTTTTTTTTTTTTGGTATTGGGGATCGAATTCAGATCCTTGCACTTGCAAGGCAGGCAGCGGAACCACTGAGCTAAACCCCCGGCCCATCAAATATTGTACACCGTACTGTTCCAATTTTAGTATATGTGCTGCCGAAGCGAGCACTATACATTGTACCTTGAAAATGAAAAGGCCTAATAAAAACAATAGGAAGGCCTAATATCCACTAGGGAGCTTCATTTTCAATTTTTAAAAAGCTTTCATTGGACACTGGCCTAAATATGTACAATGCATTAGTTGAAATCAAAAGTCTTTAGTTGCAGGCAGACTGAAGGTTGTTTGTTTCTCAAGTCCCCAACCATGAGACCTTGGGAATGGTTCTTAATGATCTCTGTGCCTTGATTTCCTCATATGTAAAATGGGGACACTGGTACTGTCTGCCTCATAGGGGTGTTGTAATGATGAAATGAGATTCATGTGAGGTACTTAGCACAGTGCTTGGCACAAAATGAGTGCTCAGCTGATATTATCCTTATGGTCTTCTCCAGTTAGAGATTGTAGGGCAAGGAGTCTTAGTTGCTTTCAGAGCCTAGGAAGATTTAATAACCTATAGGATTTAACAACCTGTCCCACAGTTCCATTAAAGCCATCTTAAAAATCCATAGCAGGAAGCTATTTAGGTCAGAAACTAGATTTTCTCCTTCCCCCGATCCAACAAGAGAATTTCAAATTTTATTCTTTGGCCACCTGAAGAAGTATGTATAGGACACTTCTTATCCAGGTGTAATGTGAGAGCTGTTTAAAAGAAATTTTGTAGGGGAAAGGTAATAAGGGAAAAGAAAAAAAATATGAGAAAATGAAAAAATGGAAATAAAGTGTTTGTAATTGGGGAGGGGAGGAGAGGGTGAAGGGAGGGCAAGGACAAGGGGAAAAAGTGAGAACCAAGACCTGTCATGTAAAGGTACAAGATCCCAATAATGAATGTAACTGTACTGTATACTTAAAATGAACCAATAAACTCAAAGAGAGGAAAAATAAATAAATAAATAAAAGACATTTTGTAAGCCCTTTGTAGTGTTGCATGCCTGTAATTCCAGTACTCAGGAGGCTGAAGCAGAAAGATTGCTGCAAGTTTGAGGCCAGCCTTGGCTACATAGTGAGTTCAAGGCCAGCCTGGACTAGTGAGACCATGTCTCCAAAAAAAAAAAAAATTTTTTTTGCAAACAAATTACTCGTGCATTGTACATAGAAATTTTGTTAGTTGTAAAATACATTGCTAGGCACATGAAGATCCTCATAAAAACTCAATCGATCCCCATGAATTTGGTATGTTTTTTTGTTTTTGGCTTTGGTAGCAGGGATTGAACTCAGGACCTTGCGCTTGCAAAGCAGGCAGAGGAACCACTGAGCTAAATTCCCAGCCTGAATTTGGTATGTTTTTAGTTGAAAGGTTTCTGCCTTCTGTGCATGGGCTCCAGATTTGATTATTCTATGTGAAAAAAAAAAAAAGGTTTTTGTTGAAGACATCATCAGTTTGCTGAAACTTATGGAGAGAATGTTTTCAGTTAACAAACTACATCCAATTTATGTTCTGTGTTACAGGGAGAAGGTAGACCAACACCGAGGTTGCCTGAAAGGGAGGACTTAGAGCCACTAACTGCAGCACCACAGACAGCAACGACAATAGTCAGGAGGGAGCAGGCACCATGTCGGGCTTCCGGTTAGTCCATGTCTCCCTTCCTAAGCCCCTCAGTGGGGAGTGCTTTCACCCCAAATGCCTCTGCTTCCCTGGCCACAGATGACTGGGGCAGACACTTCTGACCCAGGCTGAGACAACGCACATTCTCTCTCCAGGGGTTCTGGAATTGGGACGCAGGCCTCTGGTCAGCCACAAATGGCCCCTGGATCTAGGACAGCACGTAAGAGGGGCTAGCATGGCCATGTTCATTGTGTACCCTGGGAGGCAGAGAAAACTGGGCTGTGGAGAGAGGACACTGAAGCAGCATCAGGAAAAAGGAAGGAGGAGAAATTAGGTCGCACCCAGAGAAAAACAGAGGTGGCAAGAACATAGTTGTCTCCATCCCTGGTGGCCTCTCAGGGTTTTGTTTGCTCCCTTTTTGGGCCCAGCTGCCCTTCCTGCCCTGGCCCACGTTCAGTATCCTGGCCATTTTAGTTCAGGCAAGTGTGAGAAGTCTGTCACTTGAAACCCAATGAGCCAGGGCTAAGTGAGCGGGCCGGCAGAGGGAGGGACTACGCCAGGGTTCCCGGTGGCGCAGCAAGGGTCTGCCTGTGGCTGCCCACCTGGTGGTGGTCCAGATCAGACAGGCACACTGTGCAATTTTTGCTGATAATTAGATTGGACGCAACAGATTCATGGTGTCCTGAAGCAGTGTTCTCTTAGTTACTTGCTGATACATGCTCTTGTGTAGTAGAGACGTGGGAGGCACTATCGATGGCATGCCTTGAATTTTGTCTAAGCTGGAATATTTCTACAAGGTTATGTGTGTCTGTTGCTGTCATTGCTCATGCAGGTGGCAACAACAAAACAATGGAGGCACTGATTGTGCCAATCCAACAACTGGTTAGTCTCATTGCCGGGCATTTGACACCAGTCTGTAGGTGTGGCCCTGCCCCAGATTCAGGAGCAAATCCTGGGTCTCACTGAAGGCTTTGACAAGGGCTGTTTCACAGTTCAGGGGACAGAGGTTACCCTGAGTCCTGTCCTGCTCTGATCAAATGTGCAGGTTCAGATTTCTGGGCTTCTACCTTCATTCTGAGACTGAGTCTCAGTCCTGATTCCCTGTTGGATGACCTGAGTCCTTGCTCCCCTGCGCCACAATCCAACACCCTCCAAAGCCAGTAGTGTAGTTTGCTTGCATCTCCCTCCGACCCCCAGTTGAAACACCTGAAACACAGACCAAACTAAGACCTTGCTGAGACCCTGCCACCTCCCCCTGGACTCTGCCACCTCCACTTTCTCACTGCCAATGATGCTATTTGCTTACTTAGGGTTACTGATGGGACACCTATTTTTAGTACTTGCTATATCTTTCTAACCCTGAGACTTCTCTAAGCTCACAGACTTTCTGCTGCTGTTCCCGGAGTCCAGGTGGTCCCACAGTTCTGCCCGCCAGGCAGAGCCCCTCCCACTGACCTCACTGGGCACTTAGCAATGCCTAGCACTCAAGGAATGACAAAGACGCAGGGTGGATACGGCAGAAGGAGCACACTTGAGGAACCCTGGGTTCAAATCCTTATTCTTCCACTTGGACAAGTTTCTTAATTTCTTTATAACTCAAAAGGGTTATTGGAAAGATTATACAAGATTAAGTGCCTGACAAAGTTTAGTAGGTATTTAATTAAATACACCTTTCTTTCCTGCACTTAGACTTTTTTAACAGCTTTACTGAGAAATGATTCACACACTATGCAATTCACCAACTGAAAGGGTACAGTTCAGTGTTATTTAGTATATTCACTGCAGTTAGACGTTTTTTTCTTTCTTTCTTTTGTTGGTACCGGGGATCGAACTCCGGTCCTTGCACTTGTGAGGCAGGCAGTGGAACCACTGAGCTAAATCCCCTGCCTCATGCAGTTAGATTTCTTAAAAATGTCAGCTGCAGTTGAAGGATATGAGGTTTAATAACAGTTAAAAAGACTTAGGATTTTAGTCAGCTATAAGCTTATGTGAATTAATAGTGTGAAGCAACTGTATTGGCAAAAAAACCTGACCTGATGCTGGGCTCTACTGATACAGATATGATGACTGTAAGAGGACAAGTCATGGTTTCATTATTCTGAGCTGGCAATATATTTATTTTTAGAGCCATGTGGGCAAAAGCAACCATATCCAGAGCAATGAAAAACTGTAAATGCTGCCTGTAGGAGCCAGTGATTCTCATCCTGGAGAAATCAAGCCTAAGAGGAGATGAAACGCCCTCTTCAATTAGCTCTGGGGCTCTTGTTTAGAAAACAAGTGACATGCATTTCTGTGTTCCTTCCCTGAGCCAGAAGCATAATAGGTGAATTAATTTAAGCAAGCAGATCCTGACATAATAGAAGGAACAATTGAAGCTGCCTAGCTGTCTAAAATTGGAGTGGATTGCTCCTTACTAACCGCTGACATAATATCCATATTCCTGAAATATTTCTGAAAGTCTGTATTTACCACATGATTGACAAGTCCAAAGGCAACGCTTTACAGAGCTCTTGTTCTATCTTGCTGAGGAAGGTAAAGCCATCAAGTAGGTCAACTCTTCTTTCTTCCTGATCAGTCATCTATTTTGTAGATTAAGATAGTTTGCTCTTTTCTTTTTTCTTTCATTTTTTTGATGTAGGATCTTGCTGTGTGGCTCAGGTGGACGTCAAATTTGCAATCCTCCAGCCTTAGCCTCCCAAGTGCTGGGATTACAGGGATGAGCCACAACATGGAGCTTAATAGTTCAACCTTTTTCTCATTTTTTATTTATTTTCCCTGCCCTCATATTTTTTTTGTGTGGTGCTGGGGATCAAAGGACCACATGTATGTGAGGCAAGCATTTTACCACTGAACTCCCCATGGGGTAGCTACCCTCTTCCCTTTTGTGTGTGTGTGTGTGTGTGTGTGTGTGTGTGTGTGTGTGTACTAAGAAATCGAACTCAGGACCTTGAGCTTGCCAGGCAGGCAAGGCACCACTGAGCTAAATCTGCAGCCCACTTCCCTGCTTTTTGATCACAGGATAGAGAAAAGGAAGCCCCAGAGTATCAATATGGATATTATGCTAGCAATTCTAGTGATGGTGGAATATTCTTTAAGACCTGGGTATTACCTAACCAGGAGATTTCATTCATCTCTTTCCAATTCTCTATAGAGTAACTTCATCTTAGAAGTTCAAAAATGGCTGTAGTGGGAATATTTACACTACAGAAATTAGCAAACACTACTGAGCAGCACACATATCCTTAGTCTGTCCCACTTACCATGTCTCATGGCTTGTGAGTCTGCTACCCAAAGATTGCAGAATTGGCCCTAGGCATAACAGGCCATACATTCATAATAATAATTCACAATCTTGATTTGTGGACCATGTGTCTGTATAGAAAAGAATATTTAGTGGCAATGCTATCTAACTGTCATGTAAGAGGAATTTGGAATTTAAAGCAATTGAATTAACTAGTTTCAGATGAGTGAAATGCTTTGGGGAAAATATGTGGTGAAAACTAGATGCACTCAACTGCCTTCTGGACCACATATTTTTCTTTAGGAAAGCCCATCATGATCATGGTCTGTATATCAAGCTGCCGCTTATACACAGCTACTTGTGCAGACCCCATGTCACAGACAGGAATCCACCTTCAAGATAAAAAAAAAAAAAAAAAAAAAAAAAAAAAAAAAA